GTCTTCGTCTGAGGGGCGTGAGTAAGAAGTCTCGAGTGCGGCTTGAGCAATGGAAGTCTTAGTTTGGATTGCCAGAAGAGCAGGTGGCTCGACCAAAGGATGTGAGCAAAAGGAAGTCTTAGAGATATGCTCTAAGCAAAGGGAATTCTCAGCCAGAAGATAGAAGAGCAGGTGACTCAGTCAGATGATGTAAGCAAAGGTTAAGTCTTAGACATGTGCTCTAAGCAAGGGACGTCTCATACAGTTGGTATGAGCAGTTGTAAAAGTCTTATGTATAAGCATAAGCGATTGTAATCATGAAGTGATTATAATGAAAAACTCTTGTGAGACAAGAGGATTATACTACTCTCAATTAGGGGAGGAACACATATAAATCTTTTATGTTTTTTGTTGTTATTTTATTTACTTCTATTGTATCCGCTGCCAAACAAATTAACTTAGAATCTGAATGTGTGTTATAACTTTAAGACTTAATCTTGATATTTTATAATTTAAACTAATCACTCTAAAATGCTAAGCGCGTGATCAAACCATCTTTTACACTTTCTCGCTTTCAAAGTTCAATTTCCTTTGCTTGATTTAACAATTGATTGGAACTTCAATTGGATCTTTGAATCATTTAAATGATGAGGCTTGAAATATCTTCTTGATCATATGCCATCATAAAAAATTACTATATAATTGATATCAACCCTCTATTTGAAAAGAGTTTGTCAACATCAAAAAACCGCTTAACTTATGAAGTTATCATCTTTATTGACAGTTATACTCACAAGCACAAGATACATAGAATTTTTTTTAGTATAACCATGTTATTTAAAAAAAATGCCAAACAAATCAAAACTTCAAATAATTGTCAAAAATGGCTATACTTCAACCTCGTGTCGCCAATTGATGTGGCGGCTCAGGCTAATTCATATGGACTCGCCTAATGAAATGGCGACACAGTCATGGGATTGGGGTCCTATCGCCAATCCATTTGGCGACTTGGCCCATTTAATTTTTTTTTCTGTTTAGGGTTTGCAAATTTATGAACCATTTTCTTTTATTTTTTTTATATATTTTTTGTGATATAATTTTTATGAAACAATGAATATAGTTTTATAAAGTATATCATAAATTAAATATATTTACATTGGTTTTATAAAACAATTAAATTATTAATACAATTAAATATAGTCTTTATGAAACAATGAATATAGTTTTTTTTACATTGCTTTTATTAAACTATATATTTATATTTTTTATTTAATAATTAGTATTGTTGTAAACTATATCACAAAAAATTGGATTAAATTATCAAACAATAAATATAGTTTTTATGATATAGTTTTATAAAATAATAAATATAATTATATATAATTTTAAAACATAATAAATATAAATAGGTATAAATTTTAAAATATAATAAATATATGATTAACATATATTTTTAAAATATAATTTGTATATAATTAAATATATAAATTTAAAATATATAATAGTAGGTCACATTTGAATTTTGATATTTTTATATAAATTTTGTTGAAAAATGTTGGTATTTGTTGAAAAAAAGTATATAAAGTTTGTAAGGGTATTTAAGACATATCATATGGGGTACGTACTATTTTATTTTTCCTATAAATACGACAGCAAACACATATATGTTTCCACAATATTGTATACCAAAAAACTGAAGTCTTAACAATTTTGAGTGGAGTGGAGTCTAGAATGTCTGCATTTCTAAATCAACGTTCTTCGTCGTCGTCATCAGCATCGGAGGAACCCTTTCCAACATTTCCTCTAATGAAAAGAAATGCTCTAGTTGTTTTTTCAGCAACAAAGCCTCCGATGAAAGTGCTCTTGTGGAATATGCAGACGTTTGAGTATTTGTATAGGGAACTGAACCGCTGGCTAGAAGGAGATATTACTCCAGGAGAAAAGATTAGGAAAATTAAGAGGTTCGTCGAGGAGGCTGGGAGAAACGGAGTTACTCGTGAATGGAGAAAAGTGGAAATGATGTTGGTGTCCTTGTGATGATGTTAACACCAAAGAAGATAACTTTGATGATTGTGATATCGTAGACGCCTTGGTGCATTGTTCTGTTTTATGTCTTTATGTTGTTGTTATTTTCAGAAATGTTATTATGATATTAAGTTATGTTTGTTTAATTTCTGTTGCTTGCTAATTGTAATCGGTTAAGCATGCTTTAAATGGAATGAAATTTGTTATTGATTTAGAGGGATACAGTTACATATGAATTATGATTTTATTGGGTCATTTTTTATTTCTAGAGGACACTGGAAATACCGTAAATATTATGTATTTACCATTGCTACAAAACATAAACAAAGTGTGCGAATATAGTTGGGGATCAGCTGTCCTCGCCCATCTATATAGTGCGCTGTGTAAAAATTCCAAAAACAATTCCTGTACTTTTTATGGTTGCGCCTATCTCCTTCAAGTGTGGGGTTGGTCTAGGATGCCAACGCTTGCTCCAGTAAACCGAAATCTGTTTACATTCCCGTACGCCAACAAGTAAGTTTCTTTTCAAGACTATTTAGCAACCAAAGTTTCTTTGTAAGTTAATAATTTGTGAGATGTATTTTAGATGCTAACTTATATGTGTTTCTTTTTTTTAGGTGGTCTGTTCCATGGATGAATTATCAAAGATGTCCCAGGAACTCCATAATTGTGTAACGGAACCTCATCGACCACCTTGGGCCAGATGATGTAAGTTATCTACCTTTACTTTTTCTAACTTATATGCATAAACTTGTCTATCTTTGTCTAACTAAATGTATCTACCTTTATTGTAGTTTGTCTGGATGTTGTACAAGGGTCTCGACCACCAGCCCAACACCAATGATGCTGCTGTGCAGACATCAAAAACACCCATCATTAGGTTCACTACGGTGGAGATGCACCAAAGTGACTGGGTGAAGCTACAATTTGGGATGCATCAGGATATTCCAAATGCTCCGACATCATTGGGGCAGTGGCATCAGCAACGGGTGGACTCAAAGTGGAGTGTCAGTCATTGGAAGGAGTTTGCGAAGGAGATGTGTCAACATTGGAAGAACAAAAGGTAACACATCTTAACCGACCAAATTGTGGAAGGGGCTAGGCCAAGTTATCAATATATGACTTGGTTTAGGTTGGTTACAACATCTCCGCCAATTATGTTCGGGCCAACCTATTTGATTGACCCAAGGCAACACGCTTCTTCATCAAACACACAACAACAGTCAAATGCCCAACATCAACCTTACCATAACCCATACATGCCACCAAATGACCAACATCAACAACAACATCCTTACCATGACCCGTACATGCCACCCACCCAGTCACAACATCAACCACCATACCAATATAGCCCTAATACGTCTTTTGACCCTACCCCTTCCACCTATAGCCCAGATAACTCATTTGACCCTACCCCCTCCAACTATCCACTGTTTGACTACCAAACCCCACAATAACCAACACACCAATTCCAACCCAACTCGATGTACGAATTCAGACAACCATACCGTTCATACTCCACCCAACCTCCCCGACAATCCTACGAAAACGTGGGCATTGGGCTTAACTACGGAAGCGCCGTTGATAGTGGACCTCCCGGCTATTGGGGTCAAATGCTTCAAAATTTATTTGATACGACGGGGTCGTCCCAATAAAACTCTCCTCCACAACTTAACACACAAAGACTAGACACACCACAGCAACCTCGTCGCAACGCGCATCCTTCATAATGTGGCACCGGTGGTCGCTTGGATAGAGCCGACCATTAGTTTTTTTTGTTTGTTCAATTGTAATTTTCATTCTATTGTAAATTAATATATTTTAATATTTATTACATTTCTATATTTTTTAAGATTATTTAAATTTCAATTAATTATGAAAAACATTAACTATAATTTAATATTTATTCCATTTCTTTTTTTCTTTTCATTATTTACATTTTAATTAATTATGAAAAACAAAAAACATAATTTAATATTTATTTCATTTTTTTTAATATTATTTAAAATTCAATTAATTATGAAAAATAAAAAACATAAATTAATAAAAAAAATTTCAATGTTTACATACTAATTAATTATGCAAAAAAAAACATAACTTAATATTTATTCCATTTCTTTTTTTTAATAAAAATTAATTATTAAAATATAATTTAATATTTTTTTATAAAAACATAATTGAACGTTAAATTGGCGACAGAACGTTAAATCATAGTCAATTGGCGACAGAACGTTAAATCATAGTCAATTTAAAAAAAATTGAAATTTTGATTTATTTGATATTTTTATTGAATAACATAGTTATATTTAAAAAAATTCAGATACATATTCTCCTCTTTTTTTTAACGATGAAAAGACATCTTTTAAGATGGTGGTAAACAAACAAAAGGAAAAAAATTTAGAGTCATTAAACTATCCTTCATAGATAAAGAAAATATAATTTATTCACTCTAAAAGTATACCGCTCCCTCTGACATTATAAAAATATAAAAAGGCGTATAAATAAACAACACAATAAGCACATAGATCACATAATAAGTTTGAAAGAAAAAAATATTTGATTATAATAAAATAATAAATGTGGAAAATAAAGCACATTAAAACAGGAAATAGAACATATAGCAAGACAACTACTCACTGTCATTGTCATCATCAACATAAGTCATTCTAGTCTCTACTGAATTCTTATTTTGAGAGGTAAGATGCTTTTAATATATTCACCTTGATCGGTAGTTTGCAACTTCCCATAGGCTTCGAGTAACAACAAATAGATTGAAGTTATAAGAACCGGATGGAGACTCAATGGTGGATTGTACATCTTAGATGTCTGAAATTGAAACTTGGCACCTTTTTGGGTAATTAACTCAATTTAGTTCCAATTAAAGCCTAACATAAGAATTGATAATATTATTTCAAGCAACAAATATGATTTTATAATGTTATATATATGTTGAAAAACTACATATAGATTACTTGCACATAAAGAAACTAAGCCTATTTCTTTGTGATTCCAATCCTCGTAAGAGCAAAATAAGCTATAAGTCTATAACCAATTAGCATTATTACTAGAGCCATTGCAGCTATCCATTGTGCATTCAAATCAAACCCTACTTGTTTTATAGGAGGAAACTCTTCAATAGGACACTGACCTTCAGAACAAGGGTATGTGTCTCCACTATGAAACTGTGATCCAATAAATAGCTGATATGTATAGTAGCTAATAGAAATATACTTCACCCAATCTATGAACTTTGGAACATTCTGAACATAGAATCCACCAGCTAGTAAGAAAACTAGCATCAACACTGATGCAAGTGTTGTTGCTGATTTTTGATCAAGTACAACAGCACCAAGTGCAAGTCCTAGTCCTTGTGCAACCAACACATTCAATAAGAGGCTGAAGAGTGTTTCGAAGAAGTTTAGCGCCGTTGCCTTGAGTCCTGCCATGAAATATGTTATGAGAAGGAAGACTGTTGGGAGGATTAGCTCCATTGGTAGGTCAGCTACCATTCTTGAGATGAAGTAGGAGGACAGTCTGTACATTCCTGAGGATCTTTCTTTTTCTAGCATCATTAGTTCTTGAGGGAATGTGAAGATTGCTTGGAAGAGTGGGAAAAATCCCCAAAAGCCTGTTATGAAGAATAATAGTCCAATCTGCAAAGGAAGTTGAGATGAGATAAATATACAAAAAAAGAATGATGAAAATACGATATTTGGTAATGAAGTTCGGCCAATTGTGTCTACGTTATTTTGCTAATTTTTACCTGATCCTGCATGTGTGATGTATCGGATTTATACCAAAGTAGTCCTGAAATAACTGCAACCACAAGAACTTGACAAATCTTAAGGACAGAAAATGATTCATATTTTCTCTCTTTAACATCTCTTCTTAACAATACAAAGAATTGTTGTGACCAGCTAGTAGGCCATTTCTCAGAACCTGTCTCTTGAAATCTACCATCAGAGTCGTTGATTTCGTGATGTTCTTCTACCTTCAACTGTCCATCAGAGTTACTCTTAAATGCTGAAATCAGTTTTTGCTTGTCTATGATATGGTCATGATTAGCGTCATCGGTGTAGATACCTGCAAAATTTACGATCCAAAATATTAAATGACATGTTCAATTTGTTAAAAATGCATAGAAATTTTAATTTATTTTACCATTTGCAAGATCCAAGAGGAAATCTGAAGGGTTCATAGCCATAGCAGGAGCATAACCAATATTAGAAAAATGTTGAATAGCTTCAGACCCTTTTCCGAAATACACAACATTCCCTTCAGCAAGCAATAAAACTTTATGAAACGTATAATATAATCTACTTGAAGGTTGATGAATTGTCATCACAATAGTCCTTCCGCCTCTTGCTAACTCCGACAAAGTCGATACAATTCTCTGTGCTGTAGTAGAATCCAAACCAGAAGTTGGTTCATCAAGAAACAACAAACTAGGGTTTATAAGCAATTCTTGTCCAATACTAACCCTTTTCCTCTCTCCACCAGAAACTCCTCTAAGAGTAGTATTTCCAACGACGCTATCTTCGCACTTTGTTAATCCAAGTTGATCAATAACGTTTTTCGCAAGTGCAACTTTGGCTTGTTTTGTGAGAGTATTTGGTAATCTAAGAAGTGCTGTGAAAACTAGGGTTTCTGTTACTGTTAAGTGAGGGTAAAGAACATCATCTTGTGTAACAAAACCTGTGTTTCTTTTTATGACATTAGAAAAAGGTTGTCCATTGTATGTTATTTTCCCGTGAAGCTTTCCACCAAGTCTTCCTCCTAAGGCTGTTAATAGTGTTGTTTTTCCACTTCCTGATGGACCTAACATGGCTAGCATCTCACCTGGTTCAACAACTCCGTTTACTCCTTTTAGTATTGTTTTCTCTTCTACTTTAACATTCTTCTTGAATAATCCACCACTTTTAATGTTGATTTTGTACACAACATCATCAAACTGCATAAACATCATTCATTTTCCTCAACAATTTAGATACATCTATCAAAAGCATAAAGAAAAATTCTGTAAATTATGTAATACACTCATGCATGCGTTCATGCATACGTACCTTAAGAATCACAGGACGTTTTGCTTTGTGCAAAACAACAGGTGCTTCTTCATGCAATGTCTCCTTGTGAATTGTTTGAGACTCAATATCTTCCATATCTGTTTTGAAACCCTAATAGATCGATCTTAAAACAAAGTATTGAAATAATATATAAAAGAAACTTACGTCAAATTAAAATGACGCATGAGATATGAAAGAAGTAATCGTCTCACTGCGTGTATATGTTATGAATTTCAACTAAAAAACTCACAGATACAAATCTTTTTGTAGTATAGTACTTTATAAAACACTAATATTAGTAAATATTCTGTTTTTTAAAATAGGGACAAATGAATAAAACAGAATTTGCATACCAGAATTCAATTTAAGATGGAGTGTGATGAGGAAAATATGTTATATAGTTTTTTAAAACAATAAATTCTTTCCTAAGTTTCTGTTCAGTTTCCTCACTACTCGTTCATTCTGTTACATACTAATATACAACTGGCATAATAACCAAATTTTACGCTAACAATAAGGTATAGTATAGTACAGTATATATTTTTTTTAGAGTATACAAATACAATGTTGCAATGTGTTATATATTTGACGTGTACGATACTACTTTATAAAACACTAATATTAGTAAACATAAATGTTTTTTTAATAGGGACAAATGAATAAAATTGAGATGACTGTTGTGTTCTTGTTTCTGTTTCAGAGTTTCAGTGTCCTCACTATTCGTTGGTTCTGTTAAGTACTACGTATGTATATAGAGGTGGCGAAGTAACCACATTTTACGCTAACACTAGCTATATTAATTTTTCCTTCATTGATAATTTGTTGTATTCTTTATATAATTATTGAAGTATTTGAATGTAATATAGAAATGTTTTATATACGAAAAATGATATTCTTACATCAAATCCATACACCTACGCTATATTTTACTATTCATCAGTACACTGAACATGAACAGTGAAATATTACAATAATATATTTTTTAAAAAATATAAAAAATTAATATTTTAATTTTTTTTTTAATTTTTAAATTAAATAATATTGATATAAAATTACGTGATTAACTAACTTCATAATCTTATTAATCAATCTTTTAAATTTTATTAACCAACTTTGTTTGATGTTAAAAATTATTTTTAATATCTGGGCGTCTGTTAACCAACTTCATATCCTCATTAACCAACTTTTTACTTTTCATTAATCAACTTTGGTTTACAATTAAAAATATTTTTAACTCTGAGCGTCTATTAACTAGAGGTGGTAAAATGGATGGATTGCATGAATATGGATTGTATTGTTAATGGATGGATCAAAGCAATCCATTAATCCATTAACAATTCACTAAACTCTCTTAATAAAAATCCAATCCAATCCATCCATTAAAAGATAAAATTCATCCAATCCATCCATTAACATATTTCTAATGGATGGATATCCATCCATCCAAAAAATTAATTTAAAAATTCTTAATTTAATTAGTGACAACATAATATTCAATGGATTTATAAAATGAGATGGATGGATTGAATCCATCCATATGAGTTAGTGGATGGATTGGATCAAATCCATTAAATTATTTTTTGTCTTATGGATGGATTGGATGGATAAATTATTGGATGGATGGGATGGATATTATCTAAATGGATTTCATTGTCACCTCTACTATTAACCAACTTTATCACTTCATTAATCAATTTTTTACATTTCATTAACCAACTTTATTTCACTACTTTAAGCTAATGTTCACGGATACTGTTCACGTACACTGTTCACACACTGTTTATGCACTGTTCGTATATTGTTTATAAAAATATTTTTTTATTAAAAAAATATTGTTCACCGTATATATACGGTGTATATATTTGGTGTAAAAAGTGGTGTAGAAATAGCAATCCTGTTTATATATTTGACGTTCATGATATTTGTATTTTGAAGTGAATATGAAATCGTGGTTGGATTTTTTGTCTTGGGAAGGGAAGTGTTACGGTGGTGTAGTATTTCTCACGGTGTGGTGATAAAAAGTAGTGTTATTATGAACTTCACTTTGACAGTTTTTTTTTAATGGTCATTCTCTTATTAGTTTTTTTTAATAAGAAAGAGAAATTGCATTAATGCGACTACAAGGGATTATTCAACCCTAAGACAACGCAAACAAACAAGAAAAAATCTATCTAGAATAGTGAATACAAGTTAAATGACTTAAAAGTCAATCCTTCATATCACACACAAGTAGGCATGACAACAGAGAGGGTGGGGTCGGGTTTAACTAGCCCCGCACCCGCCTACAGACCTGTCCCCGTCCTCAAATTCAGTTGAGGTAAAAATTTACCACCCAGACACGCCCCCGATAGAAAACAGGTTTGCCCGCACCCGCAAAAAATTATTTCTTTTAAATAGTAATAAAAATTAATAATTTTATTAAAAATTTGACAATTTTAATAATAAACTTGTTTCTAAATATTAGGGTTTGAGTGAATGATGATAAATGACTAATGAGGATTTTTAATTACTTCTTAAAAAGTGAATAAATGTCTAATAAAATAATTTAAATATGGGATCAAAGTAAATACCATAAGACCGGGCGGGGCAGAGTGGGTTGAAGGTGAGATAATACTTAGAAGGGGGGTTGAATAAGTATGAAAGATTAAAACTTAGAAATAAAAACTCAAGTATTTTTATCTTGGTTTGTTGAACTCAACTACTCCAGTCCACCCTTCCTAGAGTGATTTGAATTTCTCAATCAAGGACTTAATCCACTATTAAATCAACTGATTACAATAGTTAACACTTAGAACAACTGTTCAAAGTCTTCTAAAGAACTACTGATCCTCACTGGATCTTCTTAAGGATTACAATCAAATGTAAAATCAATACAAGTGTTTAAGATTGCTTCTATAAAGCTTTATCACAGCTGTGATTTTTCACTTAACTATATAGAACAAAGAAATAAATTCTTAGAATGAATATGAAAGTATGAGAGCTTGAATATTTGATTTCTTTTCAACAAAACGTCAATTGAAGAATTTGGTGGAGTCTTGCTTTTATAGGCAGCTGATCCAAAGTGGGCTTCACGTTGAGAAGAGTGTTCCAAAAGGTCTGAGCCTTTTTGTCTTCACATCAAGTGACCTTTCCTAGAAGAAGAAAGCACAGAAAAATCCTTTTTGTCTGTGTTCTTGTGTCTAGCATAAATAATGAAAGAGACGTTTGGTTCACTCCAACGGATATATTCTTTGAATATTTCTTCTTCAGCTTTCAGAAAATTCATCAGAGTCTAATTGGGTTAGAGTCTTCTAATGATGATCAGAGTCTTTGCTGAATCAGAGTCTTCTGCAGCAGATGTGCTTTCAGCGTGTTTAAGATCAGAGCATATTTGAAACAGAACTTCAGTACTGGCAGCTTTAGTACTTTCAGAATCTTCTGTAGAAACTATACTTTGAAAAACTCTTCATACAAAATTCTTCTTTGCTTCTGACTTGCTTCAGATCCTTCTGGAGTTTCTGCTTCAGATCCTTCTGGAGCTTCTGCTTCAGAATCTTCTGGAGGCTACGCTCAGGATCTTCTGTTGGCAGCAATCAGAATCTTCTAATGAATGCATCTGGCGCTTCAGAGTCTAGCTAATTTCTTGTGTTCAATTATGATTTGCTTCTGGAGAGTTAATTCCTTTACTATCTGCAGTAAAACTTCTCAAGCAAATTTTAGAGTATATATTTCTTAAATACAAAATTTCATAATAGTTATCATCAAAACATAGAGATATTATTAAGAACCAATCTGTGTTCTAACATGGGTGTGGGGAGGGTACTAGCATCCCCCGCCCCTGCATCTGCACCCACGATTACAAACCGGATTTTCCCCGAACCCGCACCCGCATCCAATCAAATCGAATTTTCCCCGTTAATTTCAGGTCGGGTTCGGACGGGCCCGGATTTTCTTGTCATGCCTACATACAAGAGGTCTCTTGTGTTGGAATAATATAACAAGTGTGAGTAGTATGGATAATAGTCTCACATTGGATATGAATGTGGTGACTTGAGCATTTATAAGTGGAAGAACTCATACACCTACCACCTTAAGGTTTTGAGTGAATATGTGGTGTCTCTCTCACTTGTGTTGCTCTTGACCTAGTATTCAATGTTCCCTAGTGTAAAACTCCTCTAATAGATCTTAGGTTTTGCCCTGAATCAGTCTCACGAGAGAGATTTCACCAAAGATACAATTTTGTTCACAGCTTTATTACCTTTCTTAAAGAGGATGTTCTAAAATCTTTCCTTTCATGGGATTCCAAAGACTTTTAAATGATCTAAAATCATAGCATAATGAAACATCTGATAATGACCACTCCATGCAAAAATAAGTTTCCACACACGAGCTGCCACGAGACAGAGAAGAAAGAAGTGCATGTGAGTTTCCCCAGGACCCAAACAAAATGGAAACACAAGGATATGTGGATCACTAAGGACCCCAAGTTTAGCAAGCTCGTCCCTGGTTTGGACTCTATTCAAAAGAAGTCTCCAAGAAAAAACTTAATTGTTGTTGGGCACGTTTGATTTTCTAAAAAGCTTCAGAGAACTTGACAATTCCAAATTCTCGTGGGAACTTAAAATAGAGATATTTTCCCACCTAGAGTAAGCAGATTTAACCGATAACTTGCAGCTTCGCACCACCAAACAAAGACATCATCTAAGACAAGATTAGGATTAAAAATTATAAGAATAGTTTGAAGTTCCTCCCAAACACTCCATGAGGTACTCAATAGATTATAAGAATTAATCATCACGTTCTTGGTCCAAACACTGTTGATTTGAGGCACCTAAACCACAAACTTTTAATCTAGAATACTGCAAAGAATTTCTGAATTGTAATTCTTTGTGTCGAAGAAGGTTGCTCGATAGGGACAAGGAAATTGTCAAATAGCCTAGTATGTGTGTAAAAACACCTAGTTGTCGAAGTGTTGAAGAGTTAGCCTCGACATGTATTTTGTCTTAAACTTAATTTTGTAGTGTTAGCAGAATTAGGTAATTTTGGGCCTTTTATTTTTGGCCTTTGCTTAGGGAGCAAGCATGCTAAATCTATAAATAGGGAGTAACCTTATTATT